CCTGCGGAGTCTGACGTTGTAACTCGAGAAGCAGAGAACGGGGAAGGTGCACACGCACAGGCGTTTTCTGGGGCACGGAGGTTTGCAGCGCTCAGGCAGACGCAGGGCCAGGCTTGGGGCCGGGTGGGGGCCCAGGTGCACGTTTTGGAGATGCATTTATAATGTCACATGCAGGCATTTGCAGATGATTTTGGTTGGTTGGTTGTTTTCCTGAGACTAGGTCAGGCTGCCCTTGAACTCACTGTGTAGCCCAGGCTGCCTCCAGCCTCAGCCTCCAGAGTGCTGGGATTCAGGCGGGAGACTACTAAAGAGGGAATCGCTCCTCAGTTCCAAGTGGGCGGTCTTGGATTTCAACTGTGGATTTATCTTGGCTCTTCTTCAGCATATTAGTCCAGTTAGAATGGCTGGTGTTGGCGTTTGCGGGTGGTTCTTGGGGAGTCCAACCAGCCATCCCCTTTACAGGCCCTCTCCCCCTTTTTTGAGACACTTGCTATGTTCCAGACTGGCACTGAACTGAAGACACTCCTGCCTCAGCCTCCTAGAGTGCTGGGATTTCCTTTACTTTTTTGGGCTTGAAAGCTGCGGCTTGCTGTTGCCTAGCATTACCATAGCATTGCTCCACCTCTCTCTCTCTCTCACTCACCCAGAACAATGTCAGAATTCAAAATCCCAACTGTGGTTTCTATCGGACACACATTGCTTTCATACCATCATAAAGCTGAGAAATCCTACATTCAACGGTTGTGAGCCACAGCCGCCTGTAGTTTCAACCGATGCCATGATTAAAGAGCTAGTATTGAGATATCAGTGTTAAATGGGCCACTTCAGCTTGCCCAGTGCTTAGATTAAGAATAAAATAGGGAGCCCTGGGCGTGGTGGCGCACGCCTGTAATCCCAGCATTCCCGAGGCTGAGGCAGGAGGATCACCATGAGTTTGAGGCCAGCCTGTGAGTTCAAGGCCAGTCTGAGTTACACAGCAAGACCCTGTCTCAAAACAAAAAAAAAGTGTTACTCAGACTATTATTTTTACTCAGACTATTATTTTTTATCGTTCAACTTGATTGATTTTTAAAAAAATTGTTATTGCTCTTTTATCCAGAAAACAAGTAAACTGCAGTAAACTGCAGTAAACGTGTACATCTTGGGCACACACGTTAGCTGTGACCTAATTTGATAGTTACTGTATTGTGTTTTGCAAGCCATATTCTTCATGGAATGTCCTTTGCAGGTATTGTATTCCAAAATAGCGAAGTATATAACAAAAGGAAATCAGCGATTTCTTTAACAGCTTGAAGGTAGATTAGTTTTTAGTAAATAGATGGAATAAAAATGATGTAAACACCCTAGGAACCTGTGCAGCCTTAGTCCGGGTGACACTTGTGTCTATCGTTAAAGGCATGCAGAACAGAGGCATTGGGGAGGCCGCTACCTAATATGCTTAGCAGGGAACGTTTAGCAGATTACACAGCTGCCCAGGATGTAGGTGATTTTCCCACTCCCTAATAAGAAAACAGACCACATGGGAAGTATGAATTCGTATTAGTGTGTGACCACGTTACGGAAACTGTAAGACCATTTGGTTCTTACAGTTGAATTTCCCAAAATAGGTATTTAGAGCCACGCATACTGTATTTAACTGAGTTCTCACTGTTACATGTAATGAGGGAGGGAAACAATTTTAAAAAAGTCCTTAGGGGGAAAATACAAAGGTTGGAATCTGTACAAATGAGCATGGATATGTAATATTAAATGTAAACACGAAAAAGAGTAAACCTGGTTTGTTTGTTTTCAAAAGGTAGGTGAAAGTGTAGTTTTATTTATTTAGTTTTTTCTTTTAAGACAAGGTCTTGCTGTGTAGTCCAGGCTGGCCTCCAACTTGCAGCAATCCTCCTGCCTCAGCCTCTTGAGAGTTGGGACTACAGATGTGCACCACCACATCCAGCCAAAAACATGTAGTTTTAGAATTGAGGAAAAGAAGCTGTAAAAAAATGCTGAGGGTGGTCTATTGACTCTGCTTTCAATTAGCCTCGAGTTGCTGTTCTTTAGAACATGACTACATTTTAGAAGCTTGTTATTAACATAAAAATGCACTTAGGGATACAGAATATGGTCTAAGAACTGCTTACATTAGTATGAAAGTACTCTCTCTGCTAGATGCTAAGACAGAATTTGGTGAGCAGCATTGTTTTGGTTTCGGATAGGAATTTTCAAGCCTAGCAAGTTAAATGATGCATCTTTCTCCGTGGGATGTGTTAAAGGGGCACCAAGTTCCAACATGTGCGACAGTGGGTCCGGAGAAGAGGAAGCGTCTATGGACTGTGCCGCCAGCACTGTGGATTCCCTGATCAGCTTGCCGTTTGCCACTATAGATATTGAAGATGCTTACGGAGGTGAGTGCTTTATTAAATAAGCCAGTATTCAGAGGCTGCGAGTAGTAAATTAGTTATAATTTCCTTAATAAATTATTTTAGTTTAAATACGCATCTTATTTTTGAGTTTATGTTCATAGTCAGTGTCTCTGCTGATTCTGTGGCACCAAAGCTGTCACCGCAGATAGGATTAAGATGTGTTTAGCATAATTTTGGGCCAGATCATTCTGTAAGCTGGTTCTGAACATAACTTGGCTGGAGTAGTTTGTGGTCTGTCATACCCGCCTTCTCTTCTTCCGAGCCACTGCTAATTTCTGGCTCTGCGGGACCTGTGGGCACCTTGCAGGTGAAAAGGTCCCTGGGGGACGACAGCCAGCGATTTCCCTTCCCTCCTGGGGCACCAGAGGCCAGTAAGGAGAACAGTGAAACTCCTAAGATGCGCTTGCTGATCTGATTCAATCCTTGGTAGCTCTGTCCACAAACCTCAGAGAAGCGTTTGCTTGCTTGAAATCCTGTTGGAACTACATCAGTATCTAACTTTGAACATCACATCATTATAAAAACAATTTCCTACTGATGTTTGGAGCGACCCCCACTGAAAGTGTAACACATTTGCCTGTTACCCAGGTTACTTGTAAGTAGGGACATAAAAGCATCAATATATTCAACAGATGCATGTTCAGTTCTGCTGTCTGCTGTCCCCTGAGTGTCCTCACCGCACTTAGCTTGCTTCAACTTCCTTCGGCGTCTTGGTTACTAGACAGATGGTGATGTTACCGAGGAGCCTGTGTTGGAGGAACCCCCTTTTTAACCTAATGATGGCCCATTTTATTGTTCTATGCATAATTATTCTGTGTTATCATTATTGTTGCAGTTTCTTAGAGTGCTTAAATTATTTTTTAGCTTCAGTTTTAATTCATTAATATAATGATGGACAAAGAACTTACAAATCTTGAAACTTTTTTGATTTCGTTCTGGTGTGTGTTTGTGATGCACAATACTCACATGCGTCTCGGGGAATCAGTCCACACACCTTTCTCGTCTTGACCGTGTATACTGCCCTCCCCCAGTCTTGTCACTTCCTTCTTACTTCTCGTTCATGCAGTGCACTTTATGGTGAGTATGGATGTTATTACAGCTTGTGTCTAGATATCCCCCCACCAAAGCCTCATGCAGTCATAGGTGGGGATTTTTCAGAAGTAGCTGCATCTAGAGTGTGTGATGATGGGACTGATTCATGGTGCAGTGCTAGGATCGAGGGCACTAGGATTAAGGGTGTGAGTGCTGCCCACCCTTAGTAGCGTAGGTAAGAAAAAAGGGGCAGAAAGACCCTGTTTAGGTCCATATTGCTTTGCTGCCTTCTGGCTGTTTCTCTGCCATGTGCCACCCTGCCTTGGAGCCAGCCGATGATGGATTGAAACCTCCAGGAACTGTGAGCAAAGTAACCCTTCCCTCCTTTAGCTTTGGGTGTTGGGTCTTTTGTCTCAGTACGGAGGAAAGTAACTAAGACAGATACGTGTAGAGAAAAGCAGTCTCTGTAGGTTCAGCACAGTCTGGTTTGGGGGTCCCCTAGGGGTTTTGAAGTGGACTGCCTGCAGATAAGGGGGATTTCTCTTTTTATTTTAATGACAGATTCTGTGTTAAATAAAAAGTTGTCTAGTTCAGTCTATATTTTGAGAGGAGAAAACAGACTTAGAGAAGTTAAGTAAATTTGCAAAATTGAAAAGAACTAGTTATAGAACCTGTGGTTTTGGATTGGTTATTCATTCTTTTGATAACCATGGGTGCCATCAGGCTTGCTAGACATTGAGGGTATTGAAACACATGACCATCTGCACCTTCATGAAGCTCTCAACTTTACTGTGGAGCTAGGATATTAATAGCAGTGATTTCATACAACGAAGGCCACACAGGCTGGCCTTGGACGCATGCTACTGTGTAGCCCAGTCTGTCCTTGAACTCACACCAATCCTCCTGCCTCAACCTCCAGCATGCTGGGATTACAGATGTGCTGCCATGCCTGGCATCAGAGTTTTATGTTTTGAAACATCCCCTGTGATTCTGATGCTCAGCCCTGTTCAGAAAGCACACAGCTCTCTATCACACAGCCTCCCGGGTGCAGTTATGGTTTGGGTACGGGAAGAGGTGTTTATGATCTCTGGCATTTTGGCGATCAGTCTTCCCCACTCCGTAGTCCAGGAGAACAGGGAGCATGGGGAGCTGTCTGCTGGCCAGGACGTCGACTCCGTCTTTTCCTTTCCAGCCAGCTCTGGAAAAGTGTGTTGGAGTTTTAGACCTGTAGGGGCCTTTGATTAGAAGAATGTGCGCTCTTGTTAAGTAGAAGACCCTTTTGGAAAAGAGAGGCAGAATAGCAAGGATTGAAAGTTGTCCTCTTAATCCCGCACTTCTTGAGCAGACACAGTGAGGAGTGTGTGTTTGGACAATCGAAGCACCGCTTTCTGGTTTTGTTGCCCTCTGGTCTTGGGTAGGTGACAGAGCTTGAGCAGTCAGGCCCGCGTCCGTGGGGGGCCCTTGCCATTGTCGCCTACTCGTGTTTCTTCCCCAGCCTCGTTCTGGCAGGTAGGCTGAGGCAGAAGGTGAAACCTGCTCACTTCTCCAGCTGCCGGGCTCCTGACTCACACTCCTCACCTCCCTTGACTCCGGTATGACTGCTGCTTACTAAACCTTTGAAACATCCCTCAGTTATTTGGGGACATCTGATTATCGTTTTTTAAAATAATAGCTCTTTTGGTAACTCTAAGGAACAAATAGTAAAATTTTTTACAAACAAGAAACCACTAACTAATTTTTAATCAAATGAGATTCTGACAAGTTCATGGCCAGCCTGGGCAACCTAGTGACACCCTGCTTCAAAATGCAAAAAAAAGGGCGAGGGATGCAGCTCATTGCAGAGGCTGGGTTCAATCCCCAGTCCTGAAAAAAAAATCAAATGTTCGAGACTGGCTAAATTGCCCAGGGTAGGTTTGAATTTGCAGTCTTCCTGCCTCGGCCTCCAGAGTGCTTGATTGCAGATGTGCGCCAGCGTGCTTTGCTGGATCTCTCTATCAAGAAAGCATTGCAGTCAACCCAGTACAGCGTCCAGAGAGTGCCGCTGCTCTGAAGAAGGGCTGCGTGGAACTTGCAGCGGAGGCTGTGCTGGGGCATTCCCTGTTGGTGGAAGAGCTTGGACAGCTTTCTGCAGCGTAGATCTGTGCACAGCTCAGGGTAATTAACTAACTTCTTTCCTTCCTTCCTTCCTTCCTTCCTTCCTTCCTGCCTGCCTGCCTGCCTGCCTGCCTTCCTTCCTTCCTTCCTTCCTTCCTTCCTTCCTTCCTTCCTTTCACAAGGTCTTGCAGTGTATTTCAGGCTGGTCTTGAGCTTACTATGTAGTCCAGGCTGGCCTTGAATTTGAGGTGATCCTCCTGCCTCAGCCTCCTGACTTCTTGGATTACTGGCCTCTAGTCTTATAGTACGTGCCATACACCTAGCTTACCGTAGTCTCTAGTCTTTCAAGAGAAACACGGTATAGCTGGGCATGGTGGCACACTCCTGTAATCCCAGCACTCCAGAGGCTGAGCCAAGAGAATCTCCATGATTTCCAGGCCAGCCTGGGCTACAGAGCAAGACCCTGTCTCAAACAAACAACTGCCCCTGCAAATAAAGAGAATTACTGTGCTTAACTCTCCAGCCACATTTAAGTCAAGATTCAGAAGAAAGTATCTGAGAGTTTTCAGTCACATCTTCCTTAAACGTGGAATTCAGTTCTTCTTTTATTGAAATGTTTAACCTTTATTTTATCCAGAATTTTAATCTTGTAACTAACTGTAAGGAGTGGGGTGAGGCAGAGACCAACTGAGATGCTGGGATGGCTTGTGTAAAGGCAGCGTGGCGTGGGATTTACTGTACTGGGTGCAGGCAGACAGAGGGCGAGAAGGCTATCTGGAGGGAGCAAAGAGAAGCAGGCTTCTTTTATAGGGCTTGAAAGAAGGCAAGGGATGTGAGGCAGGAGGATCTTAGTACACGTCAGTGGTCAGAGTTCTCTGGATGTCTTGTGCATCAGTGGACGAAGTCCTTGGGGCATCTGGTGTGAATGCGTGGGTGTCTTCAGATGTCTGGGTGCTCGCGTGAGTCTGTGCTCCAGCTCATTGATTTAAGACATCCTGTGTTTGCTGAGGGCCCCGGCACTGAGCTGAGAACAATGCTTCTCCCAGCAGATAGGAGGGGTACTGGGAGAGCCAGGTCTGAATCAAGCCTTACAGTAATTATTGGAGATGTTTGAGGTATTGGCTATTACCATTTTGTTACTTTACTAGCTAATAGTATTAACATATTTAAAAAAAGACTTGGCACCTCAAATGTTTTAAAATACCAATTAAAAATTTTAAAAATATTGGAGAAAAATATGACGTCAAAAATTGAATCTTAATACATACCTCCCCCATTTTAAGTTTGATCTCTTTTTTTTTTTTTTTTTTTGGTCTTTTTGAGACAGGGTCTCGCTATGCAGTTCAGGCTGGCCTTGAGCTCACTTTGTAACCCAAGCTGGTCTCTAACTCACAATGATCCTCCTGCCTCAGCCTCCTGAGTGCTGGGATTATAGGCATGTGCCACCATGCCCGGTTTAAATTTGATTTTGATACACAGTCTTGCTGAGTTCCCAGCCTGTCCCAGAATTTGCAACCCTTCCTTTACCTTCCTGACCAGTGGGGGTTACAGGTGTGTGCCTCATCACCTAGCTTGGCTCAGTGTTTGAAAAAGTACTATGCAGGTATTGGGAAAAATGCAGATGTCTGAAATTTAGGGAATGACTTCTTAAGCTATTTTAGTGTCTCTAAATTACATTGCACAATTCTTTACTATTATAGATTACAATATTACTAATATTTCACAAATTACAATATTTCTGAAATCAGTTTAGGGACCACTGCATATATCCGTGCATCTGTTTGCCTGTCTCTCTATCTGTATCTTATGTGTGAGGCAAAAATGAAAAAGTAGCCCAGAATTTTGAATGCTGTGTA